ATAAATGTCTCTGAAGTTTAATTCATTCAATCAAAAGATTGACGTAATTCATTTATAAATCGTTCCTTATTGGTCAAGATGCCGTACAGTGGAGTTTTTATAAATGTTTATTCGGGAGGATAGGTACCGATAAGAAAAACGAGTGATCGAGTAGGAGCGACAAGATAAGTCAAAATGCAAAGCATGGGTGAGGTCGTTTAGAATCTTATTGGCAAAAGTCATACAAGACTTCATATGACCATTACTAAGTTCTGTGATTAATGATTCGGCAGAAATTAAAGATGCAAGGCTTATTATCACTAATCCACTTCGGACAGTTTTAAAGTCCTGTTTCAATGGACCGGGAAACACCACAGAGGAGCAGTAAAGTAAGATAGGGAGAACGCATCGTTTTACAAAAGTGAACAAAACTTGTTGGGGAGTGCGAAATTGTCTGAGCTTTCGGAGCTGAAAGGAGAGGCGCCGAAATTTTCCCATACAGTTCTGAATGTGTGTCGACCACCGAAGATTATCCTCGATAGTAACACCCAGATATTTGGCTGAGGTCACTCTGGACAAAAGGTTACTATTAGGGGTTACAGTCTGACGGGAATGTGGAGCGAGAACTAAAAATGCACTCCAAGCACATGGACGTGTTAAGATTAAGACCAAACTGGGTTGAAGACTGTTCAATTCGGGACAGATTTTCAGTGAAGAAGAAACGGTCTGACATAAAGCGACATTGTCAGCATACTTTTGGATATGAGCAGGGTGTGGAAGTGAAAGATCACTGATGAGAGCAGAGAAAAGATACGGAGAAAGAACAGCAGCTTGAAGCACACCAGAATTATTGACTAGAGGACTTGAAGTATACCTGTACAGCTTTGTGCACTGGGTTCTTTTGGTGAAATAATCAGAAAGCCATGAAAACAGCTGTCTCGGGGTGAAAAAAAACGATTCAAGCTTAAAAAGGAGGGATGACCGGGATACAGAATAAAAAGCAGACGAATAATCAAGAAAACTGCAACGAACCGATTTGGCAGAGCTGTTCAATGACTTGCTTATAAAATGGACCAGAGTAGACACAGCATCCAAAGTGGATCCGTTGGGTTTATACGCGAAATGAAGAAGATCATGGAGAATGGTGACAAGTGACCGTTAGCGACTCAGAATGGATTTCTCAGTCAACTTCAGAACTACAGACGTCAATGAAATGGGACGAAAACGTTTTGCAAGAACGGTTGAGGATGATGTCTTTGGAGCAGGTATTATGGTCACTGGTCGACAGGAATCGGGGATCATCTGTGCAGAAAGAGACTCGTTGATGAGGGATATCCTCATACTAGTAGTTGGAAGGGCTGCTCCAAACTCGAGAAACGCTGGAGAAAGACCATCAGGGCCCGCAGATGACGATGGTTTGAAGGAACGTAGAAGCTTACAAATTTCGTCATTAGAAAAAGGGAACAGATCAGAATGTGAAGCCTCACATGGGAAAGATGATACCTGGGTATCGTTAGACGGATAGAGAAATGCAGCAATAAGGCTATTTACATCAATATCACTGTTCACGTTTTTCCTTTTTTGTCCGCACCGAAGACTTGTTTTTCGTTTGCAGGATTTGGGAAGCGAACGTCTTGATAAACGTGTTATCTCAGCCTTAAGTTAGAATACTACGTGCGAGTGCACAGACACCCAGGCTTTATTGAACAGATGCATGGCCATGAGAATGCCCACCTCGGCTTTCATGATAATTTTCGATCAAAGACAAAGCATATTCCAGTAAATGTTTCCGAAACGAACAACTGAAAGACCAAATCATGCCCTGATCCATTGGTTATAACACTGAACCGTTCGGAGGCAGCCAATTTGACGTTGGAGAATACTGCGGCTTGGTTATGCCAAGGGGCGTTGTCCATAAGTAGTAAAATAGAGCGGTTTTGAGAAACGACTTTGCGGTTGACATCGGCCAGCCAACTGTGAAACAACGTTCTTTGAAGAATTATAACTGCATGGAAGGCTTTTTCTTTCTATAACTCGGGGGCATCGTAAATTTTGAAACTTTCCAATCACCAACGTTGATAACTTTTCTCCAGTCATGCTCCCACAAAACATTAACGTGACCCTCTCTTTGGATTTCTTAGACCCAGAAACTAGCTTTCCTTTCAGACTTAATGTTCTTTCTGAGAGCTGCCTGAAATACAAAGCCATTCCATCTAAACTGAAAATATCACAGTCAGCATATCCATGCATCAACTGTGATAACCCCGCTCGAAGCCCATCCACTGTATCACGTGGTGCTGCTCAACTTTCCCCACAGACCTATGAATTAATGCACACTGCCTTGAACTTTTGGTTGATTTTCAGGTGGCTTCTTTCCTCAGATGCTCCAGCGTTCAAAAATTCTCTGATAGTCGTTCGATGGGATACATTATAGACAGCTTTTAGTAAAATTCATTTGGCTACGGAGCTCTGAGTTGCACCTGACTGTTTCAGCATTTCCAACACATTCTGCTTCTCTCTGATCGATAGGCACTTGCACATTTTGACCTCAAATGACACTGTCTCCAATCACGTGCATCGGTACAACTTACCCGCAAAGATTATCCAATCAGTGAACAGTACCATGAAAGCGTCACACTAGGTGAAACGCCATTGGCTGAGTGACATTTCAGGGTGGATGGTCTGGGTTTTCAAAAAAGATAGATATTGGAAAATGCGACTTCTTAGGGGTGTAACATAGTAGGAGATTGAATATATATATATATCCGACTCTGCAAATGGTCAGGTGTATGCTGCAGCAGTTCGATCAGTGTTGCTATCCGGTACAGAGACCTCACCATCACAAAAACCAGATAAAGATAAATTGTCGATGTTTGAACAGCACTCATTGTCTGTGCCGCATTGCTTGAGTTTGGTGAGAGAAACCGGAGTAGTATTGAATCGCAACTGCCCACTCGACTCTCATAGATCAAACTGTTACGCATGCCACCGAGTAGATTACAGAGGCAGTTATTCAGTGGAAAAGAACAGTCGTGTTCAACCTAAGACAACATGAAAACCCTAAACATGAGACTTGCTCACAGAGGTAGTGTTAAACTTCCTGGATGCGGACCCCGGGACCAGCAAAACTGATGGTTAGCGACACTGCGTGATATGGCTATAAGTGGTAAAGTGGTGCTCATGCGTCTACTGAAAACCATTGTAACATTAATCTACACGAATTCTCTGCGCTCACCTTGACACTTTATTTAACATTCTAATGTCTCACGACCCCTTCGTTCAAGTCTGTATTCGAATGCAGCATCCAATGCCGCTGCAAAACTAATTGAAATGAATTCTCATCTCCGATACGCAGCCAACATTAATTCCTAGAGCATTCATTGCACGTACTGGACAAGCCCTTAAATTCGGAAATTGACGATACCTTCGAATTTGCAATTGACTTCGTGGTAAACTACCGAAAGTGAAATTTGGCAATGAGCTTGAGCAAATGTCAAACTTGTTTGTTGGAATGTGGCAGGTCGGAAGAACGGACAAAGGGATAGGGTTGGGTACCATACTACGGCTAGGATCATTGACGCAACAGGTAGCACAGTCTCGATTATCCTGTGAAACGACCGATGCGGTACAGAGTTCTTCATAATTTGTGTCCGTATTTGAGTTTCAAGGACAGGTACTGCTAAGGAGTTCAACTACGGAGCAGGAAAACGATTAAGGTTCTCAACCAAAGCCTTTTTTCTGACAAGAACCTAAGCTTAAATCATCGGGTAAAACGAAAAGCGCGCTAATTTACTCCTACACCATTTTACTGACAGAAGCTAGCTAGGGTCGAGCTGGAGGACCAGGAAACCGAAAGTTGTTTTGCCTTTACCCTCCGACTTTTCGGGCATGATAAAATATTTCGCTTGGTAAAAGTCATCCTGCGTAATTTGTTGGGTTATAGAGATGCACAGTCCACCACGTCACGTCAAAGTGCAGTCTCTTCATGATGCTTGCTTGACTCGGAAAGCGTCGGAGCGAACATCCATAGTGCAATAATGATGACAACTCCTAAAGCTATTTCAGGCAATCGCAACGAACCTTATTACTTGTAGTGTTGTTTTTACCCAATCCAGGTCTGAAGCTGATAGTTTCGTTCATCATAATCCAACACTCTTGTGCACAGAGCGTTTGCTTGTGTCGACAGTAGTCTCAAGTGATTTTAAGTCGAGGATCACCAGTCGTTGTACATTTTACATATCGACTGACTACTTGAGAGAAAGCAAACAAGCATTATACTCGTTCTAAAAATGCTTTTCCTCATTACAGTTGAACCCTCGCCAAACGCACACACAACTGTCGTCTCTAGAGGGGCAAAAACGTTCACTCAGAAGATGAAGCAACGAAATGAGGCATGTACAATGCACATGTGCAATAGTC